GCACAGAGGTCTCGGCAAAGGCAAAGAGTCGGTGCTATTGATGCTGAGGTTCGCCGTTGAGGTGATCGGCGTTCAGAGGTTTGTGGCGAAAATCAAATACAATAACCGTTCGTCGCATTCAATGTTCACGACATTGGGTTTCACTGAAGTGTCCAGAAGTGATGTCTTCGAGGAAATCACTTACCATTTGGATGTCAGTGACCAGTGGTTTGATGACATCAAAAGCCGCACACATTATACTGAATACGTTTTGCTGTAGAAACAAAAAAAGTTGTCAAAACTTTTGACAACTTTGTCGGTAACGAAATGAAAACAAATTCAAAGCCCGTGTTATTGCTATGAAATTATAACTTTTTATTTATACATTTCAAATGCAATGAAAAACATATTCTCTTATGATTTGCAATAAAAAATAATAATTAAAATTATAAAAAACGAGAAAACATTTGCTTCGCTTTGCACTAAAAATTCATTTGAAAATAAACGATAAATCACTTTATTTTTGTTGTTATGAAATTCATAATAATTTATATATTATATGAATGAATCACATAATAGTAGGGCTTATTAGTGGGGGAAAGGGATGTGTTATCTATCGATCTGTTCGTTGCGAATGTTGGGATTAAATCGGGGGTCGAGTAGTGGGTCGCTGTCGGCGCTCTCGCGGCCAAACTTCAAGAAATAGTGGATTAGAGTACATATGCCTATAAATACTAGAATTGCGACTATAATTAAGCGCCGGTATGTGAAGGTCGGCATATTTCGTCTGTTGGCGAACGTCGAGTGCGATCTGAGGGACAAATCAAGGCATAAAAAACGAGTGTTTAGTAAACAAACCTTTCGGACAGTGATTGAGTGAAAAGTTTAGACAACTTTATGAAAAACTTAATTCAAAACCACAGTAAAAGTATAGCAAAATAAAACACATTTATAATCGACATAACAGTGCCGTCAGTGTCTACAACATACCGGAGCCATCGGGACAGGAACTCCATCGGCGATTTGCGTCTATACTTGTCGTCATCGATGTCTAACAGCGACTTTCGGGAGCCGTTATCGTAGGACTTATTGG